CTGACTGCTCCCATCTCTCCCAGATGGGATTGCTTCCTTCTCTCCCAGAAAACCCCGTGTTTTGGGGGAGAACGGCCTGACTGGGCTTTTCTTTCATTTGCTGCTTGTTTTTCCAGAGGGAAACTCTGCTCCTTCCACAGTTCTTCCTCTTCCATGCATTCTCTTGGAAACTTGGAATAATTTGTTTTCAACCGCTCCCTTCCCAAGGAACAACCCCATGGATTTAACTGGGAATGGGACACGGCTCCTGCCGGCTGGGCACTGCTAAGGGTATTGCTAAGTGACCAAATCCTGGGAAAATGAGAAATCCAGGAGATGGGAAACTCCCTGATTCACCTTCAGCCTTGACCTGACAGTGCAAGCATCAGAGATGGGAATAACCCATCACTGCCCACCTGAACCCACTGAACCCACCTGAACACCTGTGTGACCAACCCCACAGGCAGCCTGGGCATGGGAAACTGTCCGAATCCCCCAAATCCCGGGTGTTTTAGGCTGGGGGCAGTGCCAGCCCCCGGGGGGGGGTGTGTCAGTACTCACCCAGCTCGCAGCCGGGGGTGGGTTTGGTGGGCATGATGGTGCTCCTGCCGCACTCTTCGAGGCCCAAGGGTGTCCCACTCTCCCCTGGGGGGTGTCCCCTCGCTATTTAAGGGGTGTCTCCTCCTTCCCTCCCTCGCCTCCACCCGGAGCAGAGTTCCCAAGGGAGCTCGGAGGTGCCTCAAAGGCTCCTCAAAGGCTCCCGAAATCTCCGGCATCTCCTGATCATTAATTGACTCCCCATTAACCCTCTTTGAAGTGGCCCCGTGGCCGGGGCTGAGGAGCCTCCGGCGGCTCCGCTGATCCACAAGGGCCGGACTCTGATCGGGCCCGCGCGGGCACCGCGGGTCCCTCCGGTACGTGCAGGGAGGATCGTCCCGCGGGATCGATCCGCCCTTATCGGCCCTCCCGGGGGCAGCGATAACCCCCTCCCCAGATAAATAACAGCTGAGTGAGCAGTGCCTGGGCCCGGGAGGGGAGGGCACAGGGTGGGGACAGCACAGGGGGTGCGTGACGGGAGCCACGCGCCCGGGGGGGGGGCACAGGGGGGCCGGGGGCCGGCTGGAGGGAGGGAAGAGCATTCCAGAAGGATCCCTCCAAGGATCCCCGGGACATGGAGGGGCTGAAAGAGGTCTGAGAAGAGGCAACGCAGAACTTGGATTATGGGAATTCCCGAGGAGCTTTGCTGGGGGTCCCGGTTCCCTTTGCTGGGGGATTTGGCCTCCCCCGTGCCCGGACAGCAGGGGAAGGGGGGGGGGCGGGAGAGGCCCCGCCACGGGCCCCTCCAAGGCCGGGAAGGGATTTACCCCCGGTGAAGCGGGAGGAGGGTCCCGGTCCAGGCTCCGGGCTGGGGGTCCCGGGGCCGGTCCCGGGGGTGAGGGATCGGTCCGGGCTCCGGGCCGGGGGTCCCGGGGCCGGTACCGGGGTTCCCGGGGCCGGTACCGGGGGTGAGGGATCGGTCCGGGCTCCGGGCCGGGGGTCCCGGGGCCGGTACCGGGGTTCCCGGGGCCGGTACCGGGGGTGAGGG